ATATATATATATATATATATATATTACATAATACCATATAAGGAATACAAGTTAATTCAAAAAAGGTAAATCTTAATTCATTAATGTGTCTATATCCATGTAATATTCCGTGTAATGATTTCAATATTTTTAGTTTTATATATAGTACATAATACCATATAAAGAATACATGTTAATTATTTCCTAATTCAATAAATGTGGACGTTAATAATATTTTCATAATTCCTTTAACGGGCGCAGTTATGAATTGGGTCAACCAATTCTGATTCCGTGTAATATGACCACAATAATCTATATATAATTAATTAGTCTATATTCTTTTCTATTTAAAATATTTTTTATTCAATTGTAAGGAATACACGTTAATTATTGCGAAATCTATAATAATATTTTTTATTCAATTGTAAGGATATTTTATTGGCCCTTTCTTTTTGTTTGAATGATGTAAAAACTCAATTTTATACATTTGGGTGCACCACTATTGGCAAGAAGGCCTCAAATAGCTCATATAAGAGGATGTAGTGTATTGGCTAATATTTATTTAAAAAAAAAAATTAATTAGTCCATATTCTGTTATAAATTAAATATTTTTTATATTTCAGTTCATGTAATATTATATTTTTTATATTTCAGTTCATGTAATATTAGCATAATATTATTTTCATAATTAATTAGTATATATATTCAGCCATATTTAAAATATTTTTTATTCATAATATTATAGACATATACAATTAGGTTAGTCTGGTTCTTTGTAGAATGTGACGCAACATAATTAACTAATTAATACTTAATAAAATTTATTGTTAATTTGACTATAAATATTAGGCAATTATATAAACAATATATACAATTAATTAGAACGTGCAACGCTGATGTGAGCAAAATTAATATATATTTTTTATTCTACAACAATATCATAAATTAATATTATGCTAATTCATCATTAATAATTAATCCGTATTATTATTAATTTGACTAGATTTGCATAAATATTTATTATTTGTAATATACCCATAATAATATTTAATTGACTAATTTATGATAACATCAAAATATAAATAACATATTTGATTAAAAATAAAGTGCAGAATAGGAGTAAAAACAATAACAAATAACATATATTTGTGAACTTTGTGATTTTAATTTCTACGGTGTGATCTGTTTCTGATTTTGAAGAATTTTAAAGCGCATGGAGTTCTTTGTATTATTTCGTCTGTTCCTAAATTTGTGAACTTTGTATGGATTTGAAATTTTTAGGCTTTGGAGTTGAATTTTTGAATTTTTAAATCGGATTATGTGTCATTTTTATTGAATGGATTTCTCCTTTCCTAATTAAGCTAAACATGACCATTATATTTATTTTTATAATAATTACAATTAAATTATTTATCATTTTTCCCACATTAATTTTAGTATTAATATAATTATATAAATCCCTTTCAAAAAATAATTATTATATAAATCATATTACATATAGTTTTTTTTTTAAAGATAATTGTAGACAAACGACTCCTATATTATTCAATGAATTGAGTGATACTTTTACACTAATCTTATAATAAAATAAAAGTGCACTTTTTAATATTAGTATTGTTTATAATTTTCATCATTAATTTTATTATCTAAATATATAATAAAAAAATTTATCTGCGCATCACACTGGTAATTAGACAATTATTTGCTCAAATTCAAGCAATGATAAAATCAAAAAATCTAATCGATCCAACTCATTTCATGAATTGCACTATATAATATTCGTTATAATTTATATAATTATATATAAATCTAAATATTTTTAAAATATTATAATACATTTTTTTCGTGCAACGCACGTGTAAAAATACTAGTTATAAATAAAATAATTATTTTTTGACCAATGTCCACAATACGGGCGGTATAACCAACTCCATGGTATAATTTGCCGTGAATTGTAACGTATGTAATTTTTTTGAAACCGTAACGTATGTAATTAAATCGTTCCACCCACAATCCCACATACATGTTCTGAAGTTCCATCCCGTTGATCATCTCCTGTTACTCTCAGAATCTCAAGGTTTCGTGCGATTTTCCGTCTTCCTCTCCTCTCTTCTTCATTGTACGAGTGTTGTGAAATCGTAGCTCTAGCAACATTCTTTTTTTTTTTTGTTCGTTAGTTGATATCTATCCTAAAATTAAGTGCTGGCCTTGTACTTTTACAGTGCATTATTTTTTGTTCTCGTTGGATTACGATGTCGGCAACTAATGTATTTTTATGATTCCGCTTTCTTTCTCTCTCTCTTTCATTCCATCTGTTTATTGGGGACAATAGTACAATTGATCAGATCGAATGCATGCATACAGTAATACAATTAAAGATATGACCGAGATTGAAAATTCTAGAATATTAAATTTAAGATATTGATTGGTCTAAGGTATCATTGAGGGTTTGAGAGAAACATATAAAAATGAGGATTATATATTTATATATATATTGAGTCTAGATCAGATGCCGGCGGTTTAAGAAGAACAACTACATTAAATAAAATATAAATATATATACATAACTAACTGTGTGAGTTTATACATATTATTGTGCACGTGTCGTGCAATTCATCGTGTGTTAAGTGTTATTATTATTATTATTGTTATTATTATTATTATTATTATTATTATTATTATTATTATTATTATTATTATTATTATTATTATTATTATTATTATTATTATTATTATTATTATTATTATGGTTTAGGGTTTAGGGACATTAAAAATGATTGGACGACGGATATTTCAAGAAATTATTTCATTTTATATTTAATGGTACATCTATCAATTTATTTCTCAATTAGTCAATTAATAAATGTTAAATTAAATAAAAATCGAATACATAATTGCTAATATATATAGTATTTCGTATATTTTTGCTAAGTATGTCCGATCTACATACCAAAAGTAAATATTTTACCTTTCTAGAAAAAAAAATCTATAATTTTTTAGTATTTAATTATTATGTAAATCTTGGTAAGAATTCACGTCATTTTTCGGTCAATATAGTAAAATATTTTCGTGAAAAGTTAAAATTCAACCACTTTAAATTAATTTGGATACAAGGTTCGGCCATTAAAAAAAAAAGGAGTTTGAATTCATTATGGAAGAAAATATTTAGAATCCACACTTTGATTGCTAGATTTTTGCTTAGATTTTATGGTTTTTGTAAGTTGATTGTTTTTTGGTGCTGTTTGTTTTTTAAATGTCAATCTTGCATTCTCGGATTTTATTTTTGGAAACATAAAACTATAAAAGAGGTCATCCATAGGTGGGGATTCGGGATATGGAGAGCCAAGGCAAGTGCACCGGAGAAGAGTCGGCGGCGGCCGGAGCGGGTTCACGGTCATTAGTGAGTAATATTGATGGAGAAAGCATGCGTGCAATGTTCGTGGCATCGTCACCCTTGGCAGCAAGATTAGAAGCGGAGTATGAGCAACATAATTCTAGTGATTTTAGGTTTAATTCTGGTGGTTTTAGGAGTGGTAGAGCAGTGATGTTTGAGGGGCCGCCTGGATTTCCTGTTCGTCCATTATCTCATATTCCGAGGCCAGTTGCGGTGCCTCCCGCTAGGCCGGTGATGGCTGCCAACTCGTCTGCAGAAGATCATCAACCCGGAGAAACACGAGCAGCTCCCGAGACGACAACCCAAGAAACGCCGCAAACAGGTTGTGAAAGTAAAGCAACTTAATTGATTCTAGCAACCTAGAGCGGTCGGTCGGACCATCGATCTGAACCGGTGGTGAGTCAAATCCGAATAGGTGACAGGTCAAAGTCGAAACGCCTCAAACCTGCCACCATGCGTATAAAAGTGCTTTTGGCCCTCAAAGTTAGGGCCTTTTGCTCATTCTCCATTATCACCCTCTCGCTCTAAGCATACTACTCTCCCCTTTCTCTCTACAAATACACAAGAAAACACACAAGAACATTGACGAATAAAATACCCCATTTGCTCTGTATTGCTTCCTTGTTCATACACACATATTATACACAGTACACACAACCGACATCCGAAAGTTAGTACTATCAATAAGGTTCGGCCCTCATAAATCTTTTCAATTCACAAAGTAAGTCCTAATTCAACCGTTTCCTATAGTGTTTTCAAGTACAACCTATTGCATTTATTATATTCCTTTTTTAGGTAGGAAATTTGTTATTGTTGTTTCTCATTTTGTCTTCCTTCCCATAAGTAATTCATCAATAATAATTTTGATATTTGCCACACAAAAAAAAAAAAAAAAAAAGGAGTTTGAAATAATTATGGAAGAAAAGATTTAGAATCCACACTTTTGATTGCTAGAACTTTGCTTAGATTTTATAGTTTTGAGTTGATTTTTTTTTTTAAATGTCAATTTTGCATTTTCGGATTATATTTTTGGAAACATAAAACTATATATAAAAGAGGTCCATAGGTTGGGTGATCGGATATGGATACCCGGCAGAGCCAGGGCAACCCCACCGGAGAAGAGTCGGCGGTGGCGCCGGCAGGAGCGGGTTCGCGATCATTAGTGAGTAACATTGATGGAGAAAGCATGCGTGCAATGTTAGTGGCATCGTCACCGTTGGCAGCTAGATTACAAGCGGAGTATGAGCAACATAATTCCGATGGTTTTAGGAGTGGTAGAGCAGTGATGTTTGAGGGGCCGCCTGGATTTCCTGTTCGTCTATCTCAAATTCCGAGGCCTCCCGCTAGGCCGGCGGCGGCTGCCAACTCGTCTGCAGAAGGTCATCAACCCGGACAAAAGCGAGCAGCTCCCAAGACGGCAACCCAAGAAACGCCGCAAACAGGTTGTGAAGGTAAAGCAACTTAATTGATTCTAGCAACCTAGAGCGGTCGGTCGGCAACCATCGATCTGAACCTCAGCTCACTCTTTGATCCTCAACCATTCTAAATTTCTCCCATAATTAATTTAATGTTTTTTTTTTTGTGGGTGTAGGAGCCGACTTCTCTTTAATGGAAGCGACTGTTGTTTATGTAGAACCAGGAGAGGTTATTAATTACTCCCTCAAATTAAATCGAATATACAATTAATTGTTTGTTTATGCCCGGCCCTTAATCTAAGGTTACGTTACATACGTTGGTGAGTGTAATTATATTATTATTATTATTATTTAAAATTTCAGGATTTATCATCGAAGATTATTGAGTTTTGTCTTAAGAAGCTGCACTCTATATCATCATCATCATCTGTTTGTGTGATATTATCGGCAGTGGGAGCCGTTTGTCGTGCTACGGTTCGGAGGAATCCCACCTCCCATCCCAATGGCTTTGAAACCTTTGAGGTGAGCTTGCTAGGTTTGTTTAATTTGTTTGTTTGTTTGTTTGTTTGTTTGTTTGTTTTAATTAATAAAATTATTATGGTTTAATTTGGTTTGGGTGCGGGGCGGGGGCGGCAGGGGTGGCATGAAATCATGCGTCTGGGTGGAAGCTATGACAAGTCTTCGGCCCAAGTAGGCGGCGAACGCTCCATTGCTGGGGGACTCAATATCACGTTGGCTAAAGAAGACGGGAGACTCATAGCCGGCCCTGTGGGGGGACCTTTAATAGCTGCATCAAACATTCAGGTTGTTCTAGGCAGCTCTGGAGGCGGCTACGATGTTGAGAATGCATGCAGGCCGACCGGCCGGGCAGGTGGATGGTGAGTGAGGAATGAGGATACCGCATTTCAATTCGATCGGGCGCGTGCGTTTCAACTTTCAAACACACACTAGTCAATGGACTTAATTGGATTATCAACATATATAAATTTTTGTCATTTCTACTTTTATTTATTACCCCGCTCCCTTACTTTTTGCCTTTTAATACCCAACTCCGGATTATCGGATCCGTTTCTTTCTTTTTTTTGTTCGTTAGTTGATGTTTATCCTAAAATTAAAGTGTTGGCCTTGTACTTTTACAGTGCATTGTTTCTTTGTTCTTGTTGGTTTACGAGGCAATTAATGCATATATATTTTACTAATGTAGGAGTGAGATGGGGAGGTAAAAAAGGAAAAAAAAAAAAAAAAGAGTTTGACACAAATTTTTAGAAAATAAAAATAAAAAAGTTGGGCAGTCACGTGCCAACGGACGCGTGCACTGGGCGTGCGAGGTCTCCATCACGCAGAGATAGGCGCAGAGCTATGATTCAATAATCAAACTATCGACCCCATAAAATCACTTAATTTGCCAAAAAAAAACCCACCCCACATTAGTGAAAACTCATACCCATTTTTCTATTGTTTCAAAAACCAAGTATTAAGTATAGTCCACTGATGTGGATCTCTAACGGTCTAACCTCTATTTCATTCCATCTGATCTGTTTATTGGGTTCAATAATACAATTGAATGCATGCATACAGTAATAATAATACAATTGAGTAGGAAATGTGTTGTATTGCTTTTTTTTTTTTTAATTTTTTTTTAATTTTTTTTTTTTAATTTTTATGGCCAGGATTGAGAATTCTCAATTCTAGAATATTGAATTTAAGATATTGACTTGTCTAAGATATTATTGAGGGTTTGAGAGAAACATATAGAAATGAGAATTATATTGAGTGTAAAGGGTTTGAGAGAAACATATAGAAATGAGAATTATATTGAGTGTAAATATCCGCTAAGCCTCAATGGAAGACCAACTACTATACATTGCCCATATATGGAGATGGCCCTACCACAAAAACGCTTCCAACTTCAGTTATTTTTAAGTTACATTACAATGTTGATTATATTGCATAGTAGATCTTGTCATAATAATAAATAACTGATACGATATGATGTTGGTTTCTCAAAATCGATGTCATATGTTATTTAAACAACAAATAAAATAAAATTAACGAAATAACATGGTTATATATGAAATTTTAACATTGTATCACTTTTAAAACATTATTAAAGGGATACGACATCTGTTTAATTTATAAGAAATCTAACTATCGTATCTTTTTATAATTTTTTTAATAACGAGATACAAGTTTGATTTTTTAGAAAATCGATGTTGTATATCTTTATTAAAAATAAGATTTGACGTCAATTTTTAGGAAAAATTGATGTCGTATCTCTTTACTATAAAAGAAATTAAAAACAAGATACGACGTTATTTTTTTCAAAAAATAACTTGTGAATCTTATTTCAAATTATTTGATTTTTTTTTTTCCTTATGTAATTTAAATTTTAGGTATAAAACTAATTTTTTTGGGTGAAATTTAGGTATAAGACTATATGTTAACTCTAATTAATAGGGTCTATTTTTTTTTGTCATGCCCTGAGCCTATAAAATAATAGGACCCGACATGATTATTCATTTATTTGATTGTAAAAGATTCAACCCCAATTTCATAATTATTAATGACATTGGTTAGTTTATAATAAAACTAACGTTAAAATATTTTTTTAAATTATAAATTTATTTAATGATTTGATGACGACTTTATTAAAATCGGCACGATATGTTTAACGTTATATGCTATTTTTGTAATAGTGTGGTCATCTTTATTCTATTTTGAATGGAAGAAGACCGACAAAGTAGCTTTTTATAAATAGGAGCCTATAATGTATACAAGCAATATTCTATATTTGTATCTAGCAAGATTATTAGCTAGTTTGCAAATTATTTTTGTATCACGAACAAGATGAAGTGTGTGCATGAGTGCATGCCATTGAATAGTGTTTTTGCTAATCATCAAAGATAGGAAAATTGTAAAGTTACATTCTACAAATAGAAATTTGTGGGACATTTTTTTTAAAAAAAAAATTAATATTACGGAGTATTAGATTATGCCTTACAAAATAGATACCATTAAAAATATAATTGAAAAATTATATTGTAAGAAAACAACGTAAAAGTTAAATAAAGAAAATTGCTTGAGCATAGAGGTAGAACTAGAAAAATGTATGATTAGTGAATGAGAAGGCGGAGAAGGTGGAAGAAGAAGATGCAACCACATAAGCATTGAGGAGCTTATTTTTGACGGACCAAAAGTCGGTTTTTAATTTAGACCGCATCGTCTAATTGCTTTGAGTATCTTGTTCCGATGAGTATACCCCGTTACGACTACTTTTTGACTTCTCCCGTCCACTTCTACTTTCTCTATTCCTGTTATTTAATTTTGCATCATAAAATTAATTGTGAGAAATTGTGTTATGTTGTTTGTGTCTTGTGAATGTAAACAAACAGACAAAAAAAAACAATATATAATAATTATTACAAATAATCCTTATTATTCAAGCCTGCCTTTAATTTGCATGCATATATCTGTTTAATTTGTTTGTGTGTGGGGGGAGAGAGATGAGAGAGAGTACCTCTTAATTTGGATAGCATTTGCGCAATCTTTTCTCGTGTATGCCAACCATCTCTACCTTCAATTCAACCACCTGCAAAAGCTTATTTATTAGCTTGGTGTTTAATTTCTAAATGGAAACATTATATTGCATACAATTAAGAATTGAAGGAAACAGTAGTAGTAGTGTTCCTCGTACCTCCATGAGTGAATCTATGACAGACCAGATAGAGCTAGCAGCTGACTAGAAAATTTATCAAATGAATTAATGATATGATGAAGAGATCGAAGAGACAGAGGGCGGCTCTATATAATGTATAGCTGCGCTAGATGTATACTAATAAGTGAAGTGTGAAAGAAGGAATGAAAGGAAAGAAAGTAATCACAATAAGCCTCTTAGCTTCTATATATACACTACACGATCCTTAAAAGGACAAAATTAAACATACATAGTAACTAAAGTACAGTGAATATAATGTTAGATCTGGGTTGGCTGTTGGAAGCCCAAACTCCAAAGCTCCCTTCTCCCCAAACCAAACTCCCATCACAGGCTAATGAAGCTATTATGGTAAATGAAGCTATTGATTTAATTTCCTGTTTGATATCTTTGAATATGGAATCGTCGATTAGTATTTGGATTGAATTGAACTGGATTACATGAGTGCTATAATTAACATTTTAAAAAATATATATCACCCTCATTAATTAGTAATTGAAATGAAATTTCAATCATATTAAAAGTTCATTTATCATGTTATCATTTTATCAATTACAACTTATCTTTTATCTATTAGTAATTCGATCAAAGAAAGTTGCACAAAAGAAAATCAAGACTGAGATATATGTAAACATATACATGGCAGCCTGGCAGCTCTAGGAAATAAACTATACTGCAAGTTTGGTTTTTCTATTCTTTTAATGATGCTTTTGTTTGATTATGCCTTCAGATGTAGGAGGATTCTTTTTTTCCTTTTCCTTTTTTTTTTTTTTTTTCCCCCCAATATTAAGAGTATAAAATAAAATATTACCACTATGTAAAACAGTCTTAATAACTCATATATAAACCCCAAAAAAAAAAAGTTTACAAGGTTAAAGTAAAGAAAAGCATATGGCCATTCGGATTGAGAATGACATCCGACATGCATCCATAGCAGAGATGACATTGACAGTCCATATATCCTAGAACTAGAATGTCTGATTGTCCGGAATATTCAAAGAACTGAGAACGTTAGAATCTAGGTCTAATATTCTAAAATGAATATCACATCCCAATCATTCATATACTTATGGCTGCTCCCCAATTTCTATTTTTTATTGTTCAAACTTTAAACACAAGTACTTTTAAATATTGACCTACTTATAACTTCAATGAAATACACATTTGTATTTCATAAATAATTTTGATACTATTATTGATTTGATGATACCTATAAATATATTTTTCATTGATTTATATTTATTCTCATCCTCAACTTTAGACCTCTATTCTGAATATCAATCATTACACTCAAATTCAATTACTTCATCACATATATTTTCTTTATAATATGAAATGTGCATTCATATTCAATTCCATAAATACTTTCAATCTTATTATTAACCTAATAAAGACGTACATATATATATATATATATATATATATATATATATATATATATATATATAATTTAAAATTGTAAATTTAATCTTATTACGTAGTACGGAGTATTATTTAGGAATGTTAAAATGGACAAAATTGGCAACCCGTCTTAGCCCACCCTACAGTGGGACAAGTAGTAGGGCTATAAAAACTATGGACCGCAAAGTTTGGCCTGTGCAATATAGATTTCTTACAATTATACAGATTGCACGTTAGTAATTTACTAATATTACCATAATATGATTTTCATACTTAATTAGTATATATTCATAATATTTTGTGTAATATTATTTAACTTTTGGTTATATATATTACATAATACCATATAAGGAATGCATGTTAATTCAAAAAAGGTAAATCCTAATTCATTAACGTGTCTATATTCATGTAATATTTCGTGTAATGATTTCAATATTTTTGATTTTATATATAGTACATAATACCATATAAACAATACATGTTAATTATATTCCCTAATTCGATCAATAAATGTGGACGTTAATAATATTTACATAATTTCTTCAATTGGCGCAATTATGAATTGGGTCAACCAATTCCGATTCGTGTAATATGACCATAATAATCTATATATAATAAATTAGTATATATTTTCTCCTATTTAAAATATTTTTTATTCAATTGTAATGTAGTGATGTATTTTGATTATTAATATTA